CCGAGGGAAAGGGGCAGACACACAGGATCACACACTGTACGATCCCATTTTCAGGAAACATCTAGAGACAGTCGCATAGGGTGATGAGGGGGAGTAATGAGTGACTGCTGATGGGTATGAGATTTCTTTTTCAGATGATAAAAATGTCATAAAATTAGATTACAATGCTGGCTACACACCCGTGAAAATACAGTTGACCCTTGAACAACATGGGTTTGAGTGGTGCAGGACCCCTACACACAGGTTTTTTTTGTTTGTTTGTTTTTAAGATTTATTTATTTACTTATTTGACACAGAGAGAGAGATCACAAGTAGGCATAGAGGCAGGCAGAGAGATAGGGGGAAGCAGGCTCCCTGCTGAGCAGAGAGCCTGATGTAGGGCTTGATCCCAGGACCCTGAGATCATGACCTGAGCAGAGGCTTAACCCACTGAGCCACCCAGGCGCCCCCACACAGGTTTTTTCCAATAAATACAGTTGGTACAGTACTCTACATGTATTTTCTCCTTATAATTTTCTCTTTTTTTTTAATATTTTATTTATTTATTGGACAGACTGAGATCACAAGTAGGCAGAGAGGCAGGCAGAGAGAGAGAAGGAAGCAGGCTCCCTGCTGAGCAGAGAGCCCGATGCGTGGCTTGATCCCAGGACTCCGGGATCATGACCTGAGCCGAAGGCAGAGACTTTAACCCACTGAGCCACCCAGGCACCCCTCTCCTTATAATTTTCTTAATAACATTTTCTCTTCTCTAGCTTACTGTATTGTACAAATACAGTATATAATAAATATAACTTACAAAATATGTGTTAACTTTCTGTTATCAGCAAGGCTTTGGGTCAACAGCAGGCTATTAGTAGTTAAGTTTCAGAGGAGTCAGAAGTTACAAATTTTCAACAGCGTGGGGGAAGGGTCAGCACCCCTAACCTCCACATTTTTCAAGATCAACTGTAATGCTAAAAACAACTAAATTATATACATTTTAAACAGGCAACCTTTATGGTATATAAATTATATCTCGATGAAGCTCTTAAAAAAAAAATAGAGGACTGCCATCCACACAGACAGAGCAATGGCAAGAAGAGCTCTTTGTAAATCCCCAGAAATAAAAAAGACAAACCAAATGATAACCCACCAGCTTAATACGTCAAGTAACCGTACTACATTACTAGTTTCCAAAGATACTGCTAAAATGACAACTGCCAGAATATCGTCAGTAGACCGCTTTCTAAAAGGAGGTCAAGAATAAAATCCTTCCAGGAATTCCTGTTAATATATTTCAATCAATCTCCCTTTTTTGTATCTTGAAAATTACACGTATCAGGGGTGAATATATAATGTCCCTTCCCAATGTCCTGCCCCTCCGATTTTTGAATATGTGGTCATGAACAAACTGTAGAGGCAAAATGTCAGGTTTAGTAAGCGTGTGGTCATCACCTGCCACAATTTGCTTCTTAGACTAGGTATTTCCTATCTAGATACTAAAACATTTTAAATTCGACCTTTTGTTTTATCTAATCACACAGATTAGTTCTGGAGTGCTAATTTCACCTCACATAAGAAAGAAACAGACCAGAGACTAGGAAAAACAACATTCTAATCCAAAACAACACTAATAACAAAGATCAAGTAGTAAAGAATTCAAAGAATTTTTTGCAATTCACATAGAACAAACTCAGGTTAACTCATCTTTATTTTTTAAATTTAAATTTTTTCTTTTGCTAACTTATATATATATATATTTTAAAGATTTTATTTTTTTTATTTGACAGAGAGAAAGTAAGAGAAAGCATGAGTTGGGGGAGGGGCAGAGGGAGGGGGGAGAGAGAGAGAGAGAGAGAGAGAGAGAAAAGCAGACTCCCCCTGGAGCAAGGAGACTGATACAGGGCTGGGGCTCCATCTCAGGACCCCAGGACCAAGATAAGGCAGCTGCTTAACCAACTGAATGACCCAGGAGCCCCTAACTTATCTTTAGAGTGGGACCACGGGACTCAGTTATACCCAAAGCAACATATGAAGAACCAGCATAGTTAGTTAAAATGGACTCTTTTACAATGGAATGAGGAAGAAAGTAAGGATGTAGTTATAAATACCATTCACTCAGTGAAATGAGGAAGTGGCAACATTATATTTGCATTTTATGATCCAACCAAACACTTTCCCTAACCTCTTCTAGTGTAACACTTTGAAATTTGCATATCCCTCTCACTACATCTAATCCACAATCAGAAAACAAACATGCTGTACCATAAGGCTGAATGATCTTCCTTCCGTCCAAAAGCTGAATTTTTGTAAGAAAATGGCAGAATTCAGCTGGTTTAACTGTTAATGTTATCTACTGTGAAAATACTATTGAAATGAATTTGAATAAATTCGCGTAGTCCTTCAAATTGCAAATGTCCCCCCCCCACATATTTCCTCCTATTACTTCTTCCTCCAAGAACCATTTCCTGATTAACTCAATGCTACTCAGTTATTTTTTTATTCTACATCTGCATACAATTCAAACACTACTTATCTGTATAGGGCTTTACAAAGACCTGCTGGATTGGAAGAGTTTGTTTCCTCAACAAAATCAGAAAGTACCGAAGAATGAAATCTATGTGTTCTGATACTTTACCACCAAGGTCAAGCACACACAAGCCACCATAATACTCAGGAGCCAATTCACCCTCCGGCACATGAGACAAGTTCCAAACATCATGTACTCTTTCACAAGTAATCTGGATGCAACTCCATTGTTTCACTCATTCTTCATCACACTTTGACAAAATACCAGCCGTGCAAACTCTCCTGTCACACCCCTGTTCAAAAACCACCCAGATTCCTCACTGCCTACCAAAGTTTGCATGACATTCACAACACAATCTCTCATACATCCACATTCCAGGTTCTCCCAAACATCCTTCATGCCTTTGCCTACACCATTCCCTCAGCCAGGACCGCTCTCCCCATCAGTCAGCACCCGACCTCCACCTTCGCATGTTACTTAGCAGGTCTCTACAGGGTGCCCACAGTAGGAGAGGCCCCTGTAAAGGGTTTTTTTGAATATGGGAATAAAACTTTAGCTCCCATCCGTCACAACCACCACCAACTCAGTCTGATAGGAAGATACCGGGCTGTAAACAAGTGACTGCAATACCGGACAAGCCCGTAAGTACATAAGAAGCTCTAACCCACAGCCAGTAGGCCCCACCTGAGCCACGTACAAAATCAACACACTGGCCATGCACTCTAGCACCAAAGTCTATTTGGGATGTAGAGAGGCAGAAAAAAAGAAGAATCAAAAAATTTAAGAATGTGTTCTGGTTTTCAATGATCAAAACTAGTTTGGCCTACTGGACCAAACTCTGAATACAGGGCTTTGCTCGCATTAGGTATTCAAGAAATACCTTTTTCATGAAATCAATCTGTAGGCATTTCAGGGCAATGAGAAGGAGGACCAGCTCATGGTGCTGAAGCTAGGAAGGGTGCAGAATGGCTGAGATGAGAGAAAAGAGAGCCTGGATCCTGGGCTCTCCCAGGACCAGAATCTTCAATCCCCACACTGACAGGTTTTGATCCTTTCTTTCCCCATGTTTCCAGATGCTCCCTTGCCCTTCCCCTCACAGGACCACCACCCCTTCCCAGTATCTAATGACTCCTCTCTCAATGGTGACCTTGCTGCCACCATATCTATCTTTCTCTTCTAATACCCACAAAAATTGAGAGGTATGAAGACCAAAAAAAATCTAACTTCGAAAGCCCTTCTCTAATCTAGGATATTCCTTGGGCTAGAGGACAACCTCTCCATGCTTCACGTGTCAAGAACAAACAGTTTGTTTTTAGAAAAACCAGGCATTTCACTCTAATTTTATTTATCTTTGAGAATAGGCAATACACGTAGCCTGTGCAGAACTCTAGAGGTACGAAGGAGTATGTGGAGGAAAGTGAAGTGAGATCTTCCCCCCAGAGACAATGAATATCATCTCTATTTACAATTACTAAAACAAGATTGCCTTTTTTGTTTTTTTTTAACCATGAACAGAGTAGCTCAGCCACATTCTGTTTTTAGGCTTGTTTGGGGGAAAGGAGCTATCTGTGAGCCAAACACCTACGTATAATGTGTCTATGAGAAAACACATCATGAGTCCTCCAGAACTTCTTTGTCTTCTCAGAAGATCGGACATACAACCTGGGATACAGCACAATACCATCAACACAAAGAACATGGCTTCTGGCATTTCACAGACCCATGTCTATGTACCTGTCTCAGGACAGGTATGTATGTAACATGTCTCAGGAAATGTTAAATTTTTAACTTGTGAATTTTAGCTTTCTCATTCAGCAAACAGGAATCAATTCTTGTGATCATTAAATTAGATCTGTTAAATGTGGAGTGCCTAGGTGGATCAGTCGGTTGAGCGTCCAACTCTTGGTTTCCACTCATGTCAGGATCTCAGGGTCCAAGGCTGAGCCCAGTCCAGCAACCCGCTCAACGCCCTGCAGGGAGTCTGCTCGAGATTTTCTCCCTCTGCCCCTCCCCAACCAGCACGCATGCACGTGTACTCTCAAATAAAGAAATAAACCTTTAAAAAATAAAAAAAGAAATATGTTAAATGCTTTGATTTCTCCATGCCTTAACCTTGTTTTCCACTTTCTTTGTGAAATACTTTCATTTAACTGCATCTAGAATATTTTTATTTTAATGTGTATACAAATTTTCTTTCTTTTTTTTTTTTTTTTTAAAGATTTTATTTATTTATTTGACAGAGAGAGAGAAAGCACACACACAAGTAGGGCGAGCAGCAGAGGGAGAGGGAGAAGCAGGCTCCTGCTAAGAGGGAGCCCAAAGTGGGGCTCAATCCCAGGACCCCAGGATCATGACCTGAGCCGATGGTAGAGGCTTAACCCACTGAGCCACCCAGGTGCCCCCACGTGTATCCAAATTTCTAAAGAAAAAAATGAGTGAGAATACCAGGATTTCTATAAAAGGTTTCCATATAAAGACTCTTAACAATTACCTGTTGTTCTTTTCTTTCTGTTGCATGATGACACTTTTCAATTCTCCAATGCCTCAAGAAATCTCGAAGATATCCAAAGAGAGTGAGTACACCATATCCCACATAAGTAAGCACAGCAACCAGCATTGGTGTTTCTTCAAAAGCTTCATTAAATGGTCTTTTGTAAAGTCCTCCATTTTGTGTAACATGATGGATCTAAAACAGAGGTTAAAAACATTTATTTCGATCCCAAGAAAAAGATTGCTACTTAAAACCTAATTCCTTACAGATTTGCATAACTTCATAATTCTCTAATAGTCAAAAAAATCCACTAAGACCTAGCAGGTCATAATTTTTTTCAACAGAAATATTATATGTTACATACACTTTAGATAAACAGCAAAGAAAAAAAAAACAGAGAAGTAACTGCCTAAGAACAATGCTTAACACTCATTTCTTTCATTATTTGATTTTTTAACTAGATCTTAAAACACTCTGGTTGGATCGTGTATAATTTCCTTTGTTCTAATAAAGCAGATAAAAAAAATGAATCAACAAAGAAAAAGCCTATCCTGAAAAATAGCATTTTAGCTTACAAATGAAGTAGTCAAAGTAAATCAGTCCCAGAACAAACTAAAATATTTATGTTTTCCTGCTATACGCTCTTTTTTTCTCCCCTGCTCTATAGTCTTAAAGCCACCAGCTGCTGTATTCCAAATAAGGGCGAGCACTAGGCCCCTGTAAAAACCCACGGTTTATTAACAGCTTTTGTTGAGGTAATGCAAATAAATTATGCACAAAAGTAAAATGCTTATATAAGAGTGGTCCAGTACTGTTCAGAAGTAGAAAGTGGAATGCAACACAAGGGGAAAAACAGTTAAGAGCGATCAGTAACTGGGGCACTTGGGTGGCTCAGTGGGTTAAGCCTCTGCCTTCCACTCAGGTCACAATCTCAGGGTCCTGGGATCCAGTCGGGTGTCGTGCTCTCTTCTCAATGGGGAGCCTGCCTCCCCCTCTCTCTCTGCCTGTCTCTTTGTCTCTACTTGTGATCTCTCTCTCTCTCTGTGTCAAATAAATATATAGAATCTTAAAAAAAAAAAAAAAAGTTTCTGTCCCCCTCCATCTTGACCAAAGTATCCATTTCCACTTTAAGATTATCCCTGGTTTCATCCTTTGGAATACTTGAATTTTAATACAGATATCAAGCTATTGCACTTTTGATCTCAGAGCTCAAAGCTTTTTACACTTTGGCCAATCTTAATGGAAATCTTTTATGGAAAAATCTCATCAGAGTCATCTGTGTGTTAACTTTAACCTTAAGTTTGAAACAGCCAACTGCAATAAGGATGCTCATTCACGATTCAGCAGGAACATATTTTCAACTGCGCATTGTACTAGAGTTATGAAAAACCCCTATTTTTACGAAAGAATAAAAGATTCTTTCTTGGCCTCTCATGCAACTTGATCCAAGGAAATATATTTTAGAATATTATATCCCAATAATATTCTTTTGGGAAAGCTACCTGAATGATGCAAGTTAGAACAGCTGGAAAAGAAACAGTTGTTCTAAACAAGGGAAAGGCTTTCAGAAAGGCACGATACTTAGAATCTGGTGGCACTGCTTCAGTTTGATGGCCTAAAGAACTTCTGAAAACCATATGTAAAACTAATATGCGTCTTCATCAATCTCTTCCTCAAAGAGGTGGAAGTCTGTGTCGATGTTTACTACTTAAACTTTTATGCAGGAACAAGGTTGCAATGTATTTAGAACAGAAGAGCTAGAAGCAAGCCAATAACTGAAGAGATTGTTTAAAAATTAATACAGCATATAAATAAGTTATTAAGCTGGGTAAAGCAAATCAAAAATACTTAAGACACAACAAAAACAATATTCTTTTTTTTTTAAAAGGCTTTATTTATTTATTTGATGGACAGAGATCACAAGTAAGCAGAGAGGCAGGCAGAGGAGAGGGGAAGCAGGCTCCCCGCTGAGCAGAGAGCCCGATGCGTGGCTTGATCCCAGGGTCCTGGGATCAAGTCCCCTGTCAGGCTCCTTGCTCAGGAGGGACCCTGCTTCTTCCTCTGCCTGCTGCTCCCCCTGCTTATGTTCTCTGACAAATAAATAAAATCTTTAAAAAAAACACAAATAACATATATAAAATAACACTGTATTTAATACCAGTACCCAACACTTCTTAACTCTGGAACTGTTTTCTCTCAATAGAACATACTAGTAAAAAGTAAGGCAATTTTCAGAGCTCCTAAGTCTCTAACAAATGTGTGACAGATTTGTCTGTCGGGAATGCTGTGGGTGGATCTCTTTAAAAGATATTGCCTTGATCTGAGACACACCCAAACCAGCACGACCATGTACATTCATGCAGTTGGCTGGACTGTCTAGGAAGAAGGAAGTTCAATCATGAGTTTGCTTTTACATACTGTGATTCTATCACAGTGCCACTTTAAATTAACTGCATTTTAAGGAACTGAGATTCACCTATTAAGTAACTTTTAGAAAACAGTCTCAGTCAAAACACAGTTCACTCTGATCATTCAGAGTGAGAATGTACAAGCCAAGTGATATGCAAACCTCTGAAAGTTGACAGAATCTTAGTAATTAGAGAAAAAAAATCACCTGTTCTTCAATTACTGATGCCAAATTTTATTTTTGACATGACTGAAATACAGCAGTATTACTACATCTGAAACTAATGATGTACTATATGCTGGCTAATTGAATTTAAATAAAAAATGAAAAAAAAATGGTATTCCCACCATCTTACACATGTATCATGTTCCATAAGGGAAAGCACCAGGCTTATTTTGCTCATTATCGCACATCGCACTCAGGATAGTATGTATTAAGTGCTAACAAATAGTAAGTACTCAGCAATGTTTCCTTTTATTACTATCAGTATTAGAGAAAGTGGCACCTTACAGGAGCTCATTAAGCATTTGTTGAATGAATGAAAATACATATTATGCTTTTTGCTCTTTCGACAGTAAGTACCCTGTAACAGAGGGTTTTAAACAAGTTACAGTGATTACACAATTTGTATTAGGACCTTTCCAGATCTCACATCTAATACCTTAGTCTCAACTACAATGGAGGTCAAATTCACACTGAACAAAACATGGGCTACAAACTCTTCCAGGGTATTTCATATTCTGGATTCACTAAGCAAGAGGGCTCTCAAGAGGCCTTTCATTCATTCTAACGAGAATTATACTGTCAACAAGACAATCAAAAAAAATATTAGCTTATGACTCCCTCCAGGGGTTAAAAAAAAAAGTTGTCAGTCTGCTCACATTAAACAGATAAGAGTGTAACAATGCTAGTATTATTAATCAAGGGAAGATTTAAGGACTCCAAAGAAAACCAAGATATGTCTGCTTGAAAAGTAACATTTTTTTTCAATAAAATGCAAAAGAAAAAAAGGCCAAAGAAGAAATTTTTTTTCAGTCAAAATCATAAGCACATTATCATAAAATACATTACAAGAAGAGGAGAGGGGGAAAAAAAACAAACCAATAACCCATTTTGTTCACATGCCTGTAGGCCATCAATTATACTTATTAAACAGCTGAAAAAAGACTCTTAACCAAAGCAGTAATGGAAAGGTATAATCAAGATAAACCATAAACAATATACATGCACTAAAATCACCTGGAAGGAGACACAAATTGGAGTGGGGAGTGAGATAGAGGCAGAACGCCTATTTCCTATTTAAAAACCTCTGAACCAATCTGATTTTTCATTTTTAAAAGAGTACACATTACTGAATTTTCATAAGAAATGTTTAAACTGAGGGCACCTGGGTGGCTCAGTTGGTTAAGCAACTGCCTTCAGCTATGGTCATGGCTCCCAGCTCCACGGGGAGCCTGCTTCTCCCGCTGACCTTCTTCCCTCTCATGCTCTCTCTCTTTCTCTCTCTCAAATAAATAAATAGATCTTTTTAAAAAAGTTATTTAAAAAAATGTTTAAACTGAATTTTCTCACTGATTTTATTCACTTTTGGACTAAAACAGAGTTAATAAAAGCAACATATGCCTCTCATGATAACCTTAGGTCTCTATCTACAGCCTCTCTAGAGAATTCTCATCTACCTGCTAGCTCTCAAACAGACTGTAAACGTTGGTAAGTATGCACAAATCTCCATGTCAATTCCAAATTTTCCCCAGAACTCCAAATGTATATTTCCACCTGCCACCTGTAAGTTCCACTTGGACATCCCAACTCAACAGGTCTAAAGCTTGAACTTCTCTCACCATCTTCACTCCTCCCTCAATTGAAACCAGATTATCCTCCTCTATCACCCACCAATCTGGTAGCATCACCACCCAGTCCACCCAGTCTCCCAAGTTTGGAGTCATCTTTAGCTCCACCTCATTTCAGACTTCATTCTAGAACCAGTAATGAATTTTTGTGCCTTAGTTCAAGACCTTCTTGTGGGACACCATGGAATTTTAAGGAGGCTGGAGATGTTCTACATCTTGAGAGAGGTACTGGAGACACTGTACACACACGGGTAAAAAGTCATGGAGCATGATATATTTTACGCACTTACCTAAATGTATGTTATCCTCAGTTTTAAAAAACCCTCAGTATCTCTTTCTTCGTTGAACCACTGCAATACCCTCCTTTTCTTGTCTGCTCTCCCTGCCACTGAGACCCTCTCCACACCCCAATTATCCTTCTAGTCACACCAAACTTACTGCCAGAGTCTTTCCAACAAGAATCCTCCCCTAAATAAGGAGTGTAAATCTCCTAGCGGCAATAAGGCAATAATAAATAATGTTCACTGTGAAAAGTCAAGAGGCAGTAAAATAAGCATTTTAAAATGTGGAGGCAAACAAAGAAGATGGAAAAAAGAGTAGAAGAGAGCAGGAGACTGCTGCATATTTCATAACAAGCATTGTGGAACTATCTGATGCTTGAAACCATGTGCTACAGGCTGTTAGGAATTCTTAGATCCTACAGGACTGGACCACAGAGCCATTTCCCTGTGAGTGTGTGCTATTTTTAAAACAAGAAAAGAATAATCCCAAAGACAGTTTAGAGATCACCCGGGTACCCTTCTCAGTTTCAAAGGGGGGCAACCATCACTTCAGATAGAATCAATAGCTAAGTGCCTCAGAAGGGAAGCCTGAAGCACAGGGGGTAGAGGTGAGTGACCCCAATCCCAATGGGTCCAGAGGGCATAGAATCAAACCAA